CTTTAAATCAGACACTCCATGGGAGTGCCTTGTAGGAGGTCCGTAAGTTGCTACCATGTACACCCAGTTTAATTGTTACTATTATACATGTATATGATAACAATGTCAATGCATTTTTTATGTAATATAGGACATATTCTGATTTCATAGCTAGCTTGTCAGACCGCATGTGTAGGAGAATTTGCTAGTCTCGTGATTCATATCGTCACATTTAAGACGGTAAAATATTCAAAATTGTTAAACTAACTTTTTATTTCTTTTTGTTACTTTTACACGTATTCTATTACATAAGTTGCACTCTTGCACTTGACTATCCCAACAATTATCAATGGACCAAACTATTTTATAATATTTTGAACTTCTCTGTTTGCAGATTTTCATTGTCTACACTTTAGAAACTTTGTTTGCTCTCACAATTGATGTTCTTGCATTTAATGGCATAAATGAGCTAGCACGCATAGTTTCTAAGAATTATAAACATTGTTTACACACTCCGCAATTTACAATCTAGTTTTACCCCTTTGCTGCATGATCTAGATTAGCTAACAAAACTTGGAGCATATGTGATAAGTTCGATCGAAAAGGACATCCAAAAAAAATAAAAATAAAAATAAAAATAAAAATAAAAATAAAAATAAAAATAAAAATAAAAATAAAAATAAAAATAAAAATAAAAATAAAAATAAAAATAAAAATAAAAATAAAAATAAAAATAAAAATAAAAATAAAAATAAAAATAAAAATAAAAATAAAAATAAAAATAAAAATAAAAATAAAAATAAAAATAAAAATAAAAATAAAAATAAAAATAGCATCAAATCATTTACTTAACTATCACAGCATGCTATTTTCTATAGAAAAGAGAATAGATTCTCTATAGTGAGATTGCGGTATGACTCACCATAGGGAATGACATGTATTCATGACTCCATTATTGATTTCGAGTTTGTTAGACTTGCTATTGTATTATACGTATTGATTAAGATCTACCAAGATGTAGGAAGATCGAGAAGTACGTGATATTATTAAGTCACTCTATGTAGGATCACTTTGTGACAATTGATGTTGAGGACTCACTTGTGCGCTTCAATTACTCTTAAAGTGAAACCGTTAATTTTGCTTTATTCGTTCAATCCACTAGGCACGGAACCCTGAAAAAGGAGGTTGGAGGAACGTGCGTAACTTCTTATAAAATAAACTTTGTTATTGGGGGTTTGCCCTTACTCAAACATTTGTGGTTCACTTCATGTACCCAATTAAGTAGGACCCTTGACGAATATCTCATATTTCTACTTTCTTTAATTATTTATATACCATTACGAAGCTCAATTTACAAAACATGTCATTATGGGTAAGAGTATGTCGCTTACAAGCCAGATTGCTTTCCACAACCAGTCCCCAATCTAAATCAGATCCTGCTTAGGAGAAAGGCCCATCTAGTCAAGCAGTCCAAAATGTCATTCAGGATCAATCAATATCACTTTGTCACACTAGCCCACCCTAAAAACCTAAACTACTCAAATTATTGTTCAACCCTTTACTTTTACCAAAATACTGTTTATTGTTCCAATGTGTTACATGCGTAACAAATTATCTTTCGATTTTTCTACATGTGCAACACATTGCTTTACGTATATTTCATAGGCTATTTTTACCACCACCATTGACACCAAAACCATCATCATTGCTAGTTTTCACAATGCATTGTGCTTGACGTTGATTCGCACCGCCACCACCTTCAAGCCTATCATATTTGCACCACTGTTGACAACGACCATTACCATAATCCCCACTACTACCAACACAAATGGCAACGTCACCCCATCTCACTAGTTACTACCATTCAAAACCGCCATCAACACCATTGCAGTTACTCATCATCACCATCACTACCACAATTTTCCTTTTATTTTTTGTTCGACTTTTTTTGGCATTTCTACAACTTACCTCACTAACCACCATCACCACTAGGGGTGTAAGCGGTCTGGTTTCACCACTTTTGAAAGATTTTCTAATCGAGCCTTATGAAACAATTCAAAAAAAAAAATTGAAATCAAAACTGAAATATTTAAAATAGTTTGACTCGACTTGACAAATTAAATGATGGGTAAAATGGTATATAAAATAATTAATAAAAAATGTATTGTTCATTGTAGACGGTAGATTCTTCAATCGAGAAAATCGGATCAAGTAGGCCATCAGCAATTTTGCGGAGCTCAAGAAAAATATAACGAAGAAAAACGATGGCAAAAGGTTTTAAGAGGGCATCGGTGTGGTGCCAGCCAAAGACCCTCCGACGGTCAAGTCAATAAAGCTTATCAAAAGTTGTATGAATGCCAGATGAAAAGAAAGAAGAAGTGACTTTGAGTCGAGTAGATTGAATGCTTGACTAACCACGAAATTTATCGGAGTGGGATAACCATTTAGGCTGGATTGGTGGGAATTCTCATAGATTTTGTGGCTGGTTGGGGCTAAATCTAATTCAATCTGTTTGATTGAGATACCAAATCCATTTACAGATAACTCTTATTGGATCTGGATAAGTCGCAACATGACTTATCTTGAAGATAAATTATTGGAGGTTGCAAATTGACCCTTGGATCTTGGACCATGTATTCGGACCAATCGTTATAATGAATTGGGCTAAGGATGACACGGTTGTACCGTCTGTGAACCCTATTTTATGGTTTGAGCCGCTTATACTAGTGGATTAATTTTTACCACTAAATTGGTCTTCTCCAAAAACCCCATCCCCATCCTCTTTCCTAAAATCAAAAATCACGAAACCCAGTCATAGTTGCCGTCGCTGCCCATCCGCAGGACGAAGGAATCCAAAAGTTAATTTCAAACTTTGAAGCCAAGACAAATTTAATAATATTGAGATCCTCTTGCATGCTCTGGAAATTTTGCTTAGAATCCTTACAAGTTATCCATAAAAATGTACATGTTTCTCAAGGCATTGGTTCTCCTTAAATCTTTTCCGCTGCTTGATGCAATCATCATCCTTTTTCCAATCAATCTGTTCCAGTTATGCCAGCACCACCTGGCCCTTTTGGTGACTATAAATTTCTACAACTTGTTCTCTAATATTTGCCTTAAAACGAAAACAAACTGTAGATCAATAATCGATACCAGAGTTGAATGAACCTCGCTTGTCTAATTGGTAGTCTCATATTGTTAATATCTTCAATTTCAACCACACTAACAGCAGTTGATCTTCTTCATGATTTAGGGGGTCGAAATTTTTGTATTGTTGTTTGAGATTTGGGTAAGCAGTGGTGGTAGTGGGAAAATGGGTGACGGTGGCTACAGTGACTGCGTTTCCTGATTTTTTTTTATTTTAGCAAGGCTTGGGGGATGGGTCTTTGGAGAAGATGAACAATACTTTTGTTTTGGTTAACTATTTTAATTCTTTTATTATAGAAATTATAAATATACTATTTTACCCCTCATTTAATTTGTTAAGTTGAATCAAACATATTATTTCAGGTTGACTAACGGAATATTGGATGGAATTTATTCAATGGACTTCGACTGTCGTTAAAGTCAAAGGCTTGATATTGCAGCCTCAAAAATAAAATGATAAGATATAGTTTGCAGAAAATTGAAAGTTTTGAGACCACTGGTGCAATTATCCCCCAAGAAAACTAAAGAAAAACACAATAAAACCACCGGCACCTACGAACTTGAGAGAATAAAAATCGCTAGTATCATGGAGCTTTTTAATGGTGAATGTCAGCAGCGTGAAGATTGAAGGCGAAGAGGGTTTGTCTACGCCGTGTGGTAAGGGGTCATGAAATTACGATATTTATAATATTTGGTAACGGACAATTGACTAAATTATCCATTTTGTTTGAAATCGTAATTTATTTTAGAGGTTGAGATTGTAATCTATTAGTCTAATTTTTTTTATTATTTTTTTTAACAGTTCGATTTGGTTTCAAAACCATTTCGCTGAAGGTTCACGAGATACAAAACCAAGGGTTCAAATATTAAAATTCATATTTGGTGGCAAAAGAAGGAAGAGGCCTAAATTACAGTTTAGCTTTATTTTTTTGGAAATTAAATATTGATTAGTATTTCTGTAATTTTAGTAAAATCAGATGCGGGATGATAGTTCCTCAAAAATTTATGCCCAATTATGAGAACTCATTGTAATTTAGGCCCATAATTGTGGTAAATGTAAAGATGGACTCATAACTAAAAAAGTGTAAAATGGCCAATCGAGACTCATATGCAAGGCCCAATCCAATTGGCTTATCAAGATTGGACAAGAACGCTCAATTTCACCAATTACTCTATTTAGGTTTTAAATTTGTTCTCAACATATTGCCTGATCTACATTCAATCAGGTTATCTAAAACCGTACCACAACTATTGCTATATAACTTTCGAAGCGAATGTTAAATGTTATAAATAATTATAATGACGACGGTCTTGTTTACAGTAGAAATGGATGGCCATGTGGGTGTGGCAATGGTGAAAAATGAAAATATGTGGCGAAAAGTGTACAACACTATGAAACTAGTGTCTGAGAATTTAGAAAAAAAAAAAGGTTTAAAAGCGTATTTTAATTGAGTAATATTATTTGTATATCATTGTTTACATAATGATGTACAGATATCTATACACCATTATATATACAATGATGTACAGATAGTATTACTCTCTTTAAAATTAGTTAAGTTTTTTAGTGTATTTTTGAGTTGTTCCCAAACATGTTTCTTCCTAAACTCAAATATAATTAAATTGAGTGTTATGTCACTAAAGTTCTATCGAAAATTTATGTGTCATGTAATCTTTTTTTTTTTTTTCCTCGTATAATCTAGATCTCAAATAAATCACTCATGACGTGATCATCCGTGAGACTCAAGATTGAAAAAACTAGCCTTATTCTTAATAACAATATTTTAACATCTTTTTTCTTCTAATTATTCAGTTCAGTCTTCATTCATCGAGAAAGTAAAAATACAAGTGGTAAAAATATAATTTTAAGCAAGTAAAAGAAGAAAAATATTTGAATTTATTCTCGTAAAGTATTATCAAGGTGCAACTGCACGAAAAGAATATGAACCCTACCCACGAGAAGCAGCAGCAGACTTTGACATTAATAAAAGCCAATGGGCCTCAAAAATCAATCAACTGTTAACAACAACTAATGTCAATCAACAAAACTAACCTAAAAAACCTACTATCTGCTCTGCTCTGCTCCGCTCCGCTCCAATAAGGAGAGAGGTTCTCCTGCCAACGTGGCAAAAACAACCCATCCTTAGAGAACCAATGAGATTTATCACCGTGCAAAATTGCCCGCATTTCGAGCCCTGCACAAAGAATACCTTCTCTAATCTAAAATGTTGGTTAGTTTCGTCGTTTGCTGCCTCCCCAGAAAGAAATTTCTAGCTTTTCCCTGTTGTTAGATTCCCCCATTAATGAATAAGATGTCAGCAATGTCAGGTTGAAGAAGATGCTGCCTTTCACCTAATTTCAATTTAACCTGTCATCTAAAAATGATGGACCTCTGATTTTGAGGCGCTTCGCTGCAAGCTCTATTGCGGGGGGTTCCCCCGTGGTTTTTCTTAACTCGTGCTGGAATCGATCATGTCTGTGCACTTCTTCATGTTTACTTGTTGATTCCTCATTTGCCGTTTTCTTAAACTTGATGGAGATGGGGATGCCACTTCCTCTGGCTAACTTATCCCTCGAAGCACCTTGTGGTGCTTCTTTAAATTGAGTTGAATTACGACTCAAGTTACGGCTCAGATCTTCAGCTGTTGAACACTCGGATGATGATACCGGCCCACACCTTCCCAGTTGATGTTTCTTTAGCCTCTTCAAACCCTGAGAGAGACAATAAAACAAACGGGTTAACATTGCTAAAATACAAATGGATTAAACAGTTAGCTCGGATGTAATAGCTGAAGGAAGAGAAATTTTATACAAGATGTCACAAAAAAGGTCAGCTATAAATAAATATAATAGCAAAATTCAGAAAAATAACCACCATAAATGTTTGGTTCGAAGCTCCAGATTTTATATCAGAAAATAAAAAATTCAACAAAATAATGAACATTCAGATGGGGTTTTAAAAGAGAGAAAAAACACACCAATATTTCTTTTCACAATCAGTACATTATAACTTCAAGAGTTCATATATAAACATCAAGCTGAAAAATTGGAATCTAAAAGATCAACCAGGTAAAGAATTTCAGCTAGTGCTTTCTTATTTCGAGCACGACCAGTATGGATACAAGCTTCAGGATCTTCTATTTATAATTCAAGCTAAACAGCGATGATGGAATCTAAAAGATTACGCCTAAAAGAATTTCAACAAGTGTTTTCTCAAAATAAAGGCAATACGTGAAACCATAGGTGTAGGTTCAGGGCTCCAAATTATATCACAAAATAAAAATTCAACAAAATGAAGAACTTTCAGATGGGATTTTAAAAAGAAATAAAAAAAAGCAACAAATTTTCCTTTCACGATCAGTATGGATGCCAAACTTCAAGAGTTTATATTTACAATTCAAGCTAAAACAAAATGGAATCTAAAAGATATAGCTGGTAAAGAATTTTAGCTAGTGTTCTTTTATTTTGGGCACGTTAGCTCTCTAAAAACATGCTTTTCCTATGTTTCTTTCCTTTCTATTTGATTTCATTTTCGGAAAGGGAGCAGCATTTAAAAGCAGCACATAAACAAACGAGTAAACAGAACAATTTTTCCCCATTTTTGAGGTCATAATTCTGTTAAGAGAAATTGCCAAGTAACCTTTACAAGCAAAAATGTTACATATATTAAGTATGATGTACCTGATGTTCAGAATTAACAGAGACCGGGTTCTGTGCATTTCTCCGTTCCACTTTGCTGGAAGAACGCCTCTTGACCCTGAATATTTCAAAATCAGACTCATCGCTTTCTTCATTGATACTAGTTCCAAAATCTATCTTCTGAACAGCCTTCTTCTGGGAACTATCATATTCACTGGTAGAGGATTGTGAAACTTCAGGAACACACATAACGCGATCTCTAGGAGACATTGAGTTTGTATTCCCTTGAACCTGCAAAATAAAATAGAAATCATGAATTGACTGGGATAACATACTAGTAATCATTTTTCTCTGGTCAGAAGCACGTAACAATGTCGACAGCATCATGGAAATGAACATACACTGCCAGTTACATGAAAACTTTGACTTGACTCTTCAACGACACCCAGACTTGATGAAGATAAAGAACCCAAAATGGAAGCATCTGAAGCAGTCTTCATATTCTCCGTGCCAGTGCACAGGGTAGACCGACATGGAGAGCTATATGTTTGCTTCTGTATTTGATTGCCAGATTGGGAAATTTCCTCGTTAAACTCCAAATTAATCTCGCAGTAAGGGACATAACCATCATTTTCAGCTCTTGAGAACATTTTTGCTAGCTGAACAGAGTCCTCACCATTTCTATCTAGTTGTTCAACCTCGTATCGTATATCCTCCTCCTGCTCAAACTGCTTAGCTGCTGCTTCCAAATCTAAGATATCTTCCCTCACACAGAGAGTTGGATTGCCTCCACAGGGTAAATCTAGACACTTTATATCTGGTATAAATATTGGGAGACCAAGATCAGCAAGATGTTAAATATACGAGGAAAAGATGACAATAAAAAACATCCAGAGAGTAGCATTGGGAATGGAATTACCATGGCGAAGGCACAACGGATGCGAATAGCAATTGCAATTCACATATGCGACATAACAATCCCGTTTGCACATGCTGCAAAGAATTGTTCCATGGGAAATAAAAGAAACATCTGTACGTGCTTTCCATTTCATTATAAGCCAACGGGCACAATGCTGCAAACGAATCAAATTTACAAAAGAAACTTTAATACTATTCTTGGAAATCAAATCTGTAGATGAATAGTCTGGGTCTTCGAGTTCCAGATATGTATATAGTTGCATTGCTTCTTTGCAAAGAAGCTCCTCTTGAGGAAGGAGGGGCATCCTGTTAAGTAAAGCATAGCGGCGACTAGCAATTGATCCCAAGGGAAACCAATCACCAGTTGCAAAGTTGACCGCTTCCCCACAATTAAAACCTATGAGATATAAGTGAGCAAAAACTTTATATGAGAATGAGGACAAAAAGTAAGCATGTTGAAGATAGAAAAACTTAATTTAAAAAAAATAATAATAATAATATTATGGCACATATGAATCTTTTTCTCATACCATGACTAAATCCAGCATGATATGCTCTAGGGAAAGTTATTACAAATTCCCCAGGCCTCTGTATAGCTTTGAAAACTGGAACATTGTGATCCAACAAAATGTTAGGGGGAAATAATGTTGTTTTCCCCAACAGTACGTCAAAAGCACCATCCTCTTTGTTTGCTGATAAGATATCATGAGAATACACATGTTCCTTTACAACTTTTTCAAAATCCAAAGCTGCATGGCCAGGAATCCCATACCAAGTCTTTGCTGCCCCACAGTGATGATAATTGATGCTGCACATGGAAGTAAATAGCAAGTACATCAATCACCACTACTACACTGAAAGAATAAAATGCGTATAGTCAAGAACATAATGGGACATACCTATACAAGTAATGATCTTCCACATGCCAAGCAAACATGCTAAACAGCATTCCTATGTAAAGCATAGGTTCAGTAACTCCCTGGGCCAAAACAAATATTTGTTCAGCACAAGCGAAAATATGAAATTGGAAAATAAAGGATCTAAGAACCAGCTCATTACCGGGATTGCTGTTTCCAGAAGACGCAAAATAGATTTAGGTAGCCGAGATAGTTTCTGAAACCAATAAAAAAATATATGTTAGACATAATTTGTTTTCCTCTATATTTTTCGTTTTTGGTTTGGGGCAGCTTATATGAACCAGGTACCGTACACAACTAGAGAAATGTACATTAAACTAACTACAAAATAATTTAACCCCTCAAGGCAGGAGTGAAGATTTAAATAGGAAATAAGATAAGAGACGAGAAAAGCAAAAAAAATGTGGAGAGACAGATTACTGATGGGAAAAACTTGAGGAATCGCAGCCAAAAGAACTCAATAAGGAACTCTCAAGACTTAAATCTTAGAATACATCCCAAAATCATTCATAGAAGCAGAACAGAGAAGAAAAATAGGCACTGGATTCGCCTCCAAAATTAATACTATCAGACAAAACATAACTTGGAATAGAAAATGAGTAGACTGCAAGGATGGTCCTGTGAGCGATAAAAGTATGAAACAAGCAAGAACGGACATCCATTGACAAGAGAGATGTATTCGTTGTGTTTGCTAAGAAGTGTTTAAGTCCCCTCGTCTAAAAATTTGACCAAGTAAGTTCCACTGAAACCAACAGAGAAAAAAAATTGGTTATGAGATAACACCTTCAGATTCCATTTGCTTTTTCCAAGTGGATCATTGGGAGAAGATGAAAATGCGCTACCATCAACATCACAAGCATATTCAACACTCTCTGTCTTTCCACAAGCTATTTCTCGCCAAAATTCTTTCTCCAAGTAAGTTGAAGGAAGGCCTCCGGCACTATGATATCTACGAGAAAATTCCTTGTTCGCCATTTTCTCAAAATCCCGTAATGTATAGTTTCTATATAAATAAAAAATAAAAAACTCAACAATCCAGAACTGAAAATTTCTTTGCATCATATATCAAGCAAGAAAAGAAAACACCAACCTTCCGCTCATGAAAAAGGTGACCTTGTCATCAGTATCCCATTCAGCCAAACGGAGAGGTTGTACTCGAGTTGTAAATTTGAAACCAATTTTTTCCTTCATAAGAACCACGCCAGCAGGAACAGAAGCAAGTACAGGGGAAACAATCTTGCAAATGCCTAAATATCAAAAGCAGAAGTTCAATTACAGTGCCCTCAGTCTAAGATAACCGCCAACTCCCAAAATGAAAGGTCAAAGGTAACAAGTAACAAGCAAAGTGACAAGGAGTATGAAATGGACATGGAGAAGCATTGATGCGTAATGCTACTATACCAAAATAGTAGAACGGCCAAACAATGGACTACATTATACAAATATACCCTGGTTAAATTTGTAACAGGAGAAAACAATGCCATAACACAATTATAAAATGTAAGTATGATACGATTGCCATCAAACTAACATCAGATCAGTAAACCCTATCTGTGCATAAAGTAAAATATTCCATCAAGAGTATTCTATTCAACCAATACAAAATTAGAAGGGGACATTTACCATGTTTTGATGCCTCTGGTGCTATCTTTTGCAGATAAAGTAATGGATCGTCAAACTCCTCTTTAGTCGGGTAGTATATTGGACACTCAGGAATTTTGTCAGTCCAGTCAAGATCAGAAGTCTCAAACTTTGCAACTTTGCGCTTTGAAAAAACATCTTTATCATTTGAAGCAGCAACAGATCTTGAATAGATATCTACATTTGCAAGTAACCTCACACCACATGGTGCTGAAGTTCTTAAAGTATCTCCCCAGCTTCTACTCACCATGTTTCTGACACAGGTGGAATCATCTATAGAATCTGCTTTCATCCGCTGTAGCCTTTTATACTTCAAAAATTCCAATTTAGCTTCCCTCGATGAACAAGCCCTTCCTTCCACCTGCCAGAAACCATAGAGTGTATGGAATGTGATAGTGACATGCAAATGAATCAACTCAACACTTTCTACGTCTTGTCAAGGCTAAACAAATGATTAAGAGAATAATACAAATATACATGAATCTATATCTAGATTGGCAGCAAATAAAATCCTTGCATAGAATAGATTTGGGAAACTTTGTCACACAAAAAGATATAGAAACATCAAAAAATTAAAAATAGAAAAGATTAGACTTCTCTGTCAATTTCTAGATACAGGAAATATCACCCTTTCATTAAACTCAATAGTTAACATGAAGAATTGTAACCAATTCCAAGCATGGGACTCAGATTATTATACCACTTGCTATATAGCAGACATTAGAACATTAATCTCCACAATTTGATTGAAATGATTATCTTCACACAAGAATATGTCATCCATGTTATAGAAAAAAAATCATAGGACGAAGTACAGTGCATAACCATTTCATTCCCCTTTAACTAGGATGCACAACAATGTAGTTTCAGTTTAGAGATGAGAGTCGGCTAGTAAGAAAAATGACTGGGGTTGTATTTGAAAGCACAACTTATCCCCCCATCTATTAACACAAAATCTCAACTTCGCCAAAATAATATTGTAAAACTCAAATCATGAAACAATCTAAAAAACCATAATTTCTGGATAGCCCATCTGCCATGGTGACAAAAATATATAACTGAGATCCTGGAAATCATGATATTAGACAACAAAAAAAAAAAAAATTAGAACATATAATGCATAACTAAATCATCAGAAATCCTAAAAGATTTCTTAAATTAACCCAAAGCTAGAAGAAAAGATCCAAAAGTTGGTGCAGATAGTAGAAAATCCAGTTTTCTAAAATGTCAAAAAACAAAATTTTCCAGTATAAAATCCTATTAAAAAATAAAATAAAATAGGAACTAATACAGAGTTGTTTAAAAATTACGAATAAAGTTTATACAAAAAGTAGAGGTAGCTAAAAAAAATGGACTTTCCAGGGGAAAAAACGAAAAAAAAATAAATTCAGGCACCAAAATAAAATTGTTTAAATCCAGTTTTCCAATCTACAGTAGCAATAATGACACGTATATTTATACGTAGATGATAAACATATACATAAAATTAATGTTTCCCATATATACGAATAAAAATGCGCATAGAAAACTGTTTTGACAAAACAAAAATAATCAATTTCAAACAAAATCAAAGAAGGCTCAAGATCCAAACAATAAAAATCAACAATTTACCCACCGGGAAAAAAACATTAGGCAAAAAACCAGATTTACAGCATTATGAAATAAACATATAATGATTCCCACAGTATACGCGTACCATCTCATACCGAAACTCGTCGGCGGTAGCCTCCGTCTTCTCTAACTTCTTTCCCGCAAAAAACGCACAATAAAAATCCTTAAAAACAATAAAAACGCCCCAGACAACGATCCAGGGCTTCAACAACCACGAAAATTCCCTTAGGCTTTCCACATTCTCACTGCAACTCGTCGGACCGAGTCAAACTCAGAGATCGGACGATTCCACCTGCCAAATCATAAAACTAATAACACGAACGGCACTGTTCCTTCAAGAAACCTTTCGGTTCTTCTGAAATACTGTTCTCCGGCGGACTAGCAGTTTCCGGCGCTTATCCGGCTGGATGTAGGAAAGGAGTTTTGTACGTATAGAGAGAGAGAGAATTTTCTTAGGGAGAGGAACAGTAAACGAAATTCCAAACAGGCCAGGCTTTGGTAAACCGAAAAAAGGGGAAAAGGATGGATTGTTTATAGTTTATATATATTCTCACACCTTCATTCATTAAAATTAAATTATAATTATTATTTTTTCTTAAAAAAAAAACGGTAACTAGTCAAATTACAAAATAAATATTACCAGTAAAGATAGAAAATCTTTTGAAAAACGAGAGTCGACTAACTAATAAGAAATTGATAAACGAGAAAAAGGCAAGTGAAACCATTCGACAAAGTAGATTAAGACGTCAATAATAATAGTAAAATCTTTCAAGTCGCTGTTCGAAAGCTTGAACGATGCGATTGAATTTTTGAAATAATTTAATTTAAGAAATAAATATTTACCATAAAATTTGACAATTCTTTCGAGGACAGAAATAGAATGATTGGCAATGGTCGCTCGACTAAGTTAGCCAAAATATCCGTAATTAGACCGAATTTTAAAAAGTAATGTGAATTAGGAAATAATTAATAACTAATAATTTATTTTTAATAATGGTAAAAGCAAGGAATGAAGTGTGAACTTCGAAGGAAAGTGCGGTTGTTAGGTTGGTTCAACCAAAACGTCTGCCGGCCTTTAAAAGCCACCGTCTGGATAAATCAAATGAATTCCCACTATTACCCTTAAAAGAATCCTAATTTAAATGGAATTTCTATTTAGTTGCAAGAGAATAAGAGGTTTTATAGGGTGTAAATGGGAAATTCAAAAAGACGGTGTTACAAAAGAATAACGGGAATAATCACGTGCTCTAATGAACATAAGACAGGTGTGTGCACCTGCGTTGATTCTTCACTGCGGACGGTCAATAAACGAGCCCACGGTATGATTAGATTATATCTTAAAAAGACGTACGCATTAAAGTTTATGCAATTTGACACGTATGAAATAACAAAACCGTCCTGAATAAGCCGCGAATTTCCGTTGGTCAGTTGGGGTAGTTTTGACTTTTCATAGTAACAAGACGCGGTAAGGTGGCATGAACAATTTTCGGACACGTGGAGTGATTTGCATAGGGTGCCAGAAGGGAAGTAGCTGGCGGTTTTGTGTGTATGGATTGGGGTCAACTTTCCTAATTGGTATTCTCTTTTTTTAATTTTATATTTTGTTTCTGCATTTTATTGGGTGTTTTTAATTTTAGTGTAATTTATTTTCCTCTTAAATAATATGTGCAGTTATTCTTATTGAGAGGGAAACACGTTCTATAAAATAATTTCAATCATATCCCAAAATAAACTAACCATATTTCTATTATGTACATAACATTTCTATTTGTGTAAATAGAATATATGAAATAAAATTAGAGTTCCATCGAGAGTCTCATCGCATTGGAATGTTAGAAATCTTTATCAATAGGATGAATCTGAGTTTGTGATGAAGGAGAAACAAAGATAAATCGAGACACCTAATGTATTGATATTCTAATGATAAGTCACAAAATAAATAACAGTCGAATCAGGGGGTATATAGTTGTCTTTCAAGTTGATGCGTCACACTAAAAGCGTCTACAAGTGGGAAAAAAATGAAAACTAGCTACTAAGATTATACTTTAAACAAAGAGCAACATAATTCTTAAATAATATTTGTATACTGAGTGTAGGCATTTTGGACCATGTGTTCCTATAGTACAATGGCTTGGTATAGAAAGTCACGAATTGAATAAGAATTTTTGAACTAAAATTGGTAAAAGAAAGATCTCTAACTAGTGTAATATTAGGAAACTATTGTTTTAAACTAATTTTTTTTCCATAACAAAGACATAAACTTTAGTAAAGTAACCTCTTACCAAAAACTTCTATTATCATTTTATTTTCAGTTTAAAAAAATTCTTAAAAATGATTGAAAGCAAAGAAAAAGAGAAAGTTCAATACAAACTCAGATAAATGATTTATTTTTACCTAAAATAGAAAAATTCAAGAATAAGGGTATCCTATGTAGCAATTTGCAAGTTATAAGTAAATTGTGAATGGGTCAAACTTTTGATCAAAACATAAAATTCATAAATGAATATATTTAACTTTCGTTAACAATTATAACTTTTAAATTAAATGGCTAATGTAATCGAACTATACCCCAATAATTAAGACGGAAGACATTTCCTTTGAATAAGTTCAACTACAGTTGATAATTGAGCGAACTACTTTCTTAGTCATCGACAAACACGGCCAAGACAAGCCATTAAAAGTATATCCAATCGTGGTGTAAAATAAATCTAAATTGTGATTTAAATTTTCAAAATGGCCAAAAAAATCTCCAATAGAGAGATACAAATTACATTTTCGACAAAAAATGTAAAAAAGATGTAAATTTATATTTACAATAGGCAAAAAATGGATTCGGTTATTTCTATGTGAACAAAATTTGTAATTAGACCCATCGAGATGTAAAGCAAATGCAAAACTAATTTTGAAAATATCAATCTACACTCAATTTTACATCACGATTGTAAATGCTCTAACAAATACAACTAGCAATCACAAAATGCTAAACGCAAAAGAAAGAAAATTTGTTAGTATATCTATACGTCATATTTTGGTTTGGTTGTAGACTAGTGGTTAAGTAGAAATGTGGGGTCCAAGAGAAAAATGTTGGACGGGTATTGGTTACAGTGGATAGGGTACGGTGGGACTTTTGTTCTTTTTAACTTTCTTGTTGGTTGGGCTAATCATGAGTTTTCAACCGCCGGCTAAAACGAAGGGCTATTGAGTGGAATAGAAGTTGAATATTCAGCGGCTTGGCTGAGAATTACAGTTGGAGTTGGTCAATGACTCAAAGCTGTCTACGTAGCGGCTCGACTTAGCGATTTTCCCTCTTCTTTTCTTATAAAAAATTTTAATTTCAAAAATAGTAATATTATTTACAATCGTTCACTATTATAGTGATATACATGTGACGATTTGTGATTTGATATATTAATATATTAATATTTTATTATTTTATTATTTTATACAACAAATCATTAACCGTCACATGTATGTTACATAAAACGACTCCGATAAAAAATAAGTGCAAATAATATTATTCTTTAAAAAACTATTCCACTACGCAAACAGTGAAACACAACCACTTACATTTACAAGAGGCACGTTCACTCCAGATGACAAAAGGCGAGTGAGTAAACCAGTAACTGTACTTTATTTCCAAGAACCTTCTCGAATGGAAGAAAATGCCTTGACGGTCACTGTATATTCACGTTAATGCCTTTCCCCTTTTTAAGATGCCAATATATGGAAGTGCATAGGTCTCTTTCGTGGACCCGCACCTACTCTAACAAGGCGGAGTCCAGTGCATTTTGTTCCTTTATTCTTAACCCTTGATCTTTCTACTTATGGCTTGTTTAGATTCGTTAAAACGCGTGATGCAATTATAACAGGGATTTTAATTCTATTTTTTTGTCAATAAATGTAATTATACCAGCAGTTTCTTCTTTTGTAATGATGATTAAAAATGGAAATCTTTGAAAAAATGATGTACAAGATATACATTTAAATGGATAACTCAAATCATGCTAAATCAGTAGATTTATCGGTCCTTTTTTGGATTGTCTATCTAATACTTAAAAACATAGGTTTTTTTATTTTATTTTATTTTATTTTTCCCTCTTTGAGAGATACATACAATTTGGATCTGTAACATTTATCTTGAACTGCATAAAGGAATTGCAACATTTCGATATTCAATAAAAATCACGAAAATGTTTTCCATTTGACATGTCGTGTAATTTCTATTGTTTGATTATTGAGACAAGGAGTGTTTATTCTAGTTCGAAGCACTATTCGTTTAAAACATTTTTTGATATTATGCTTGTTTGAGAAAAACTAAATTAAATTTTAGGTAATTATAAATTGTAGATCATAAGAAATGTGTTGTCAATGAGTGATAGTTGTAGGTTCTGTAAAAATATGAATAAAAAGTATATTTACGCCAAGTTGATTTTCTCAACACATAAATCATGAAAACGTTATGGCATTCCTACATGTAATGAATATAGTCAATAAGAATACAATATTAAGCTTATGTTTGGTGGGATTAAAATCAAATTTTTTAGATCTTAATAAAAGTTGACTATATACGTGGTTGAAAAGTCGTAAGTCCCATTAAATATATATTGTAGATGAGTTCCTCGATCTTTATTCACTGTAGCATTTACTTTCTCAGTTTTTTTCCATCGAATTCTTGTATTCAACCATTAATTAATTATTACGTCTCGTACTCGATGATATTCATATCAAAATATTTTATTTTCAAGTTTTGAAATAAAGAATTTTTTTTTTTTTGAGAGATTTGATGAAAAATAAGTTATTTTATGTCATTTTAACGAATTTTTATGTATAAATCTATTATTAAATACAAAATGTGTTAACTAATGAAAGTTCAAGGATAGGAATGACATGAAAAATCATGAAAGAATTAAGTACTCTAACAAGCAAAAATTATAAACCTTAAGTGCAATAAAAAAATGTGATGCAGCAAATAAAAATTATGATGTAAATATAATTTTTTTTGTAAAATTTATTGTTTGTAAAATAGGTATGTAATGAGGGCATGGATAGACACTCTCGCCGTTTGTCATTCCGTCGAGAATTTCCAAAAGATCGGGGCAATATATATTCGCATTTCTAGCATTTTTCCAATTTACCTATTTTATTTTCTTTTTAGGATTATTTTCTAAATACAAGTTAAACGTGTATACATAATAATCAAATTAAATCAAACAAAAATGAAGATCAGACAATGACTATCTTCCACGTCCCTGACCTACCCCCACCATGACGGGATGTAACATTTTGCCATTTCGACTTATATTCTCATTTTAAATCCTGTGACAAATAATTGATCGTATACCAATAATAATATTTATTTATTTCAAAATAAAATAAATAAATGGCTCGTTGAATGGTAGAATCAAAATTAGAGTCAACATGACGAACTGGGTCAAGCTATTTTCTCAACCCAAGTACCCCACCTCGAACCCAGTCACCTTCTCCTACGTCGATTCACGTCACGATCTGAGTGGCTGGTTCTTG